ATCTAGCTTTTACTTCGTTGGATAGCTAGCATGATAATGAAATCATGTTACTCGCATGTATATAGATCACAGCTCCTGAATGCTGGCCGTTGATTCCGCGCTTTCATCTAGAAAATATTGCAAGTCTGACATAAGGGGTTTTACGAACTTTACGAACAACGAAACGCCGCGGTTATCCTAACTGGATCAACATGAACTAAATATTTTTAATTCAGATCAAGGTCGAGCGGAAGCACCCCGAGACGCTTACTTGAGGAAACGCTTAAAGCCGCTCATTTGCGAATGCAGTGCGACCTAAGCGATCGACGCAGGCCCGCCCTACACAGCCGGCTCCCTGGACCGTGAGTTTACGCTCTCGCCGTGGGGAAACGAATAAAAGCCTCACCCGGCAAGACCTCCTTATGTTTCACACCCTTGTAACGGTAAGGCTCGATTGAAGGCTGAACCATCGGGCTATTCGTCTGGGGGCTTAGAGGACCTCATACCTGCCTCGGCTCAACCGACCTCGCTGAAGGGTTTTCTGGCCACCCGAGCTCATCCCTCCACCCAGGGTAAGCCACCAGCCGCAAGATCACCTCCTAAGGTTCAATTGCAATTGCGTGGGATGCAGTCGCATGGATCACTCCCCTGGAATTTGTGTCATCGCATCTGGCGGTCACGGCGATGGGATGCATGGGCTGCATGATTGCAACGTGCTTGTTGCGCTGAGGGACGTACTCGGGAATCCTTTCCAAAGCCAACCGCAATTGCGCAATCTCCTCATATTTATAGATGGATTGATGAACATTGTCCCTTGCCCCGAATTGTCCTTTCGTGCAGGAGCCGTCGTGCGAGGAGCCGCGTTCCTATTTCCGCCAGCTAGGCCAAAGGTGGGCGACTGTTGCGCGTTTACAAAATGGCCTCCCAAAGCGCAATTATCGGGTTGCTTCTGTTCGCCTTGCTCAGCGTAAGCGCAGGTGAGTGATCCTGCGAAATTCTCCTGCGTTAGATGCATACATGGTCGACAATTGTCGCAAACGCGCGTTTACGGGATGCGGATACGACCGTCCTGGCGGTTTGGTTGCTTATTATTAGGGAGATACTTAACGTATGTTTTTTGCAGTATGCGCCATAACGCGTACGTATAGCACATACAGATATATACAGATGTACTTTGTATAATGCATCTCCTCGCGCGCCGGGCGGTTAGTTGTTACGCGGACGCTACAGACTTGGCGAGCAAGTGGCGCCGTGCGTGGGAAATTGCTGTGCCGTTCGCGGCAATGTGAAGGCGTTAATAGATAAGCTGAGATCATTTAAGGATTCTGGCTTATGGTTGAGCAAAATGGGTAGTAGTGTATCGTTTGTTGTCGCGCATTTACGTACGGTCTTGTGATGCAAACTTCACTCACGGGCTTGTACAGCCCAAACAAGCCAAGATTCTCTTGAGCTGCTAAGCTGCTAGAAACTTATAATATAATATTACGGTTTATATGTTAAGCTAGTAAATTTCCTCAACAACAGGAAAAACGTTCTGTTACGTATTGAAACGTACGTCTTGAGTATATGCTAGGCCGCCCTGGCTCTAACTACGCAGTATCATAAACTTGCAGCAAGGCTTGGCGCTGATGAGTCGACGCATTATGCGCGAATCCTGCGAACCGGCTTCGCCTCATACAAGTCGCCACAAAGCCGAACTCCACAATCGCTCAATTTTACACAAATAATATATATGCATGTAGAAAATTATATTTGTATCGTGCAATTCATTACCCAAACCGGGTCTCTGGGAATTAGATCCGAATGATATCCTTGCACCCTGATTAGTTGTTGCTCCATAGGTAAATGCCATTTTCTGTTACAAAGAATGAAAGAGAGAAATGGACTGAGAGGCCCGAAGAAGACGGGCCTAACGAACGGAGAAAGAGACACCGCAACTGAACTAACGCGAGGCTGCGCCAGAAACGGGCGGGCGGGCGGGCGCGCGCTGAACAACAAAAACAAGATAAGCTAACCAGCTTAATGCGCGCAATAAATGACGGCCCTGAGGACACGGGCCGTTGCGAAACAGTTAGTCTAACAGTTACGCATTGGGCCTTACGCCCAACTAACCCAGCTTACTTACGCAAGCTCGCATTAGTTGTTGCTCCATAGGTAAATGCCAAAGGAGAAGATACCCCCTCTAGCGGAAATAACAAACAAACTGAGCACCAAAACAGCGCAACGCGACGGGCCGCTAGAGGGACAAAGGACGCGAGAGCTGCCAGACAGGCACACACAGCGACACGAAATAAAGCTCCCCAAGCAAAACGCCTCAACGACCTCCAAACGATACTCCAGCAGCAAGGACGGCGGACACGCCATCTCTACACAGGCAAAAGAGCAAACAAACAGAACGCTGCCAAAACCACAAGGACGAGGTCAAACCAGCGCTCTCCAACCGCGCACAGACTGACCCACCGGCCACAAACGCGACGGATCCCTCAACAAACGCTGACGGACGCCCACTGAAGGAATGGAC